GGGGGGGGGTAACTGCACATCTTTTGCAAACTACTATATTACATGTTTAGGCTCGTGTGTAAATGAGAATATGGTGGCCAACCTTGAAGCTGGTGAAAGACTAAGACACTAAATTTGCATGATTATTTTTCTTTGTTCTAGTTGATAAATTGATGTGTTTGCTGCTTTGGTTATGAAGCTTGATGATCTAATCACCAATTACGAATATGATTTTAATTTTAGGAATTTTTAATTATTTTTCAGTATATCTATATATGAATATATTAATATATTAATATTAATACTATACATTCTGTAACATAAATCCACTTAGACATCGAATTAGGTATCATCGCACTGTTCACTCTTTGCTATAGTGTTTGTAGATGGCCGGGATCCTCTATTATTGACAACTACTATGATGAGATCATTCCCGTACTTTCACCTAACAGTTGAAAAGTTTTGGGATAGTTGGTTTATGATGATACTATTGGTTGGTTTAGTTGGTTTATGATGAACTACTACTCCTTTACATGCTCATTCTTCTAAATAAAGAGAAAAAAACTTGAAAGTAAGCACAGGCTAGTTATAGTTGAATCCACGCTTCAAACCAAGAGAACGTTGCAGAAGGGTACGTTTTGAAGGTATATAAGCCATAAGAACACAAAAAAATGTTCATTTACCTTTTGCCTAAAAGTTCAAACTTTTGGAATAATTGGTTGTGTCAAGAAGAAAATTAATTTTATATGGTAGTAATTAAAACAAGTTTTCATCCTAATGCCTAGCCCAAATTATTAATCACGGGGAAAATAAAAGATCCAAGATATAAACAACTTGAGTAACAACGAAAATTTGGTAACTATATTACCTGAATTCCTATTACATACAACCACCGTACTGAGCTGAACTTGGATAACTTCCTACCACCACCAACTTCAATCTCGAGGGAAGAACTATAAGAACAAATAGCTTAGTTTCAAAACCTCGCAAACAAATGAAGACATTGACTATCAATGGGTAACTGAATATATGGATGATAATTATTCAGGTGATTATGCATAATCAGCATTAGTAGTCATAAAATAGTATAGGTTCAGTTAAAATTAGCCTTATAAGAGTTTCTACTCACCCTTTTTTTACATAAAAAAGGAATATTAATTCAATTTCACATGAAGAAATTGTGGAACCAATAGTACATCCATAATACTCCCTTGTTTCAAAAAACCAACTGTAACAGGTGTGTGTAAACTTAGTTCTAACAATTCATTTCTAATCACGATAAAAATTTCTTTGAGCACGCATGTGTGTGATGCCATTGCCAGACAAGAAAATAGATCCCAAACACGTAAAACAATAAAACATAAGTGATCACTGCAGCACCGAGAAACTTCATTTGTTATCCAGAGCTAAAGGGGACTAAAACAAGCATGTATTCAGAAATCTGAACTAACTTCCAAATCAATTTTGAACAAGAAAGACACGATTCAAAAATCTATGGAACCAAGCCTTTTCCGTACAAGGACAGTGGGATTGCAATGATGGACCAACCAACACCATTGAGATCTATCAAACAAAATAAATAAATAAATAAATCCACACACATATTTAGATTACGATCAATTTTATGGCTTCTTTTAATGTGTTTGTGGTCTTCCTCTACACTTTTCTAGTTTCAAACGCATTAAAAGATGATATAATCAGTCACAGCATACTACTACTATATTATATAATCCTAAAACCAAAACGATCGTTGTAAATTACACACTAGAGTAAGAATTTAAAAGAACCCAATTCTCATTTAGCGGTGGCACGCAGAAATGAGTCCACAACAAAGGTTTACAATTTCTAGTCCCATCTTAAATATAACTAAACTAGGAATTCTCTCCATCCAATCAGTAAAATTTATACTCGAGCAAGAAAACATATAATACAGGAGTAATTCAGAAGAGAAAAGGGATGTTATGCGATACACAGTTGGTTCATTAATTTAATATATAAGCTATGAAGCTAAATTAAATTCTCAAAAAATTCATAGAGTATTGGCAATAATTTCATCCTTTTAGAAGATGCTCATCAAGACAGTAAAGAAGCAAAGGAAATATTGATACAAAGAGTTGGGTTCTGAGTCAGGATTTGAATCAGCACAATGTGTGTAATCAAATATTAACTTGAGATACAACTACAGAAACATTTCCCCGACAACATCATATGAAAATGTGAGCATTTAGTAACCAAAATCAAAACCAGAAGCAGGAAGATAACACCCTGACTAAATTTACATGTAATAAGATTTTGTAAACCTACCTCCCAACTCTTCCCGCAATGCAACCAAGAGATTTACGAGAAAAACGATGTGTACAATGAACTGCTGCTTCAAACAAACCTGTGCCAAACTAAAAGAGTTGAGAAAGAGTTAATTCAGAATGGGAAAAGATGGATATAATAGTCCTATAAAAAATGCCAATATCCAAGGCACTGTTTAAAGATTGAAGGGAAAGACCTGTCAACTTTTTTCTAATTTTTGGGTATAGAACAATGGATTGTGAAAGCGGGAAATTAAGGTAAGATAGAAGTACCTTTAATTCTCCAGAGGCAGACCTTCTCTCATCTTTCTTTTGCCACCCAACAGCTATAGATGATTGCTGTCCCAAATTAAGCTCTATCTATAACACAGACGAGAAGAAAGATGATCAAATATAGATGATTTTCCAACAAAAAAAAAATCACCAATTCAGTGCTGCAAAATGGTCTTAAAGTCTAACTTAACCACATAAAATTGACTTGTAAAGTAATAATTTACCAAGTTTTATAAGATCTATTTAAGTCATACATATAGTTTCTGTAGGATTAAACCACCCCCCTTGAAGTTGCAATTAAGGAAATTCCTAAAGCGACCACAAATAAAGCAGGTTAGGGTAACCACATTTCAGGCTACTTTTCAAGACTCCTGCAGACTCTCAGAACTAACAACCTGATGTGAGGTAGATGCTGGTAGACCCAACAATGAATCTAACATAGAAACCAATACCATCTTAGAAATTAATCTTAGGATCTAACTATATCTCATAAAACCAGTTTGAAAGGTCAAGATTGATCATAACCTGTATTTAAACTATATCTCTAATCGATGTAGAAATAAAACACCAGCCTTGAGATTGCAATTAAGGCAAACACCAAAAGACAGACCGAATTTAAGACAGGCTAGGAATGAATGCAATTAAAGCTAAGTTTTACCACAACACTACACTACAGATTTGGATATCTAGAAGTACCAAAGAAATAACTGCTTTATGAATCCATAGAACAAATTAAAAAACAAAGTGTCCCCACCAATAACATACAGATCATTCATCTGTTCCTCAGGTTTTGAAAAATCAAATGATGATAAATCGGTTAAGTGTACAGTATAGTGTTGCATTTCCAAAAGAATGTATGACACTTACTGACTCTCCTGACATCAACAAATCTGAATTCTAGTTAAAAAGTATTCGATTTAAAAGTAAACGCTATACAAATTTTAATCTAATACTTGACTAGCTGATCAATATATGTTGACACTGTGTTATGTACAATCATATATCTCAGCTCCCTGTCACGTTTGCATCCATGTGCACTAGCTACCGTGCCATTGAAGAGAAAAGAGTTTGAGGTAGAGACTACAGAGTATCATACATGTCCACTTGCTGTTTCTGACAGTTGGCGGGTCCACAAATTTGAAAGATTCAATGAACCATCTCTCAAAGACATTGCTACGCCCATTGTTGCTGTTGAGTGTGATGACAAATTACTGGAATATGAATCGCGAGAAACATACAAAGGGTCACTAAAATGGGTAAAGCAGCGCAATTCAAATTGATCTACATAATGCAAATTACCAACCGAGTTGTTTGCACGCCAATTAGTGCACGCAAACCAACTGAAGCCACAAACTCTACTGACGAATCTTTTGAAAGTTGATGCCTAAATAGAGCATTCGCAGCTCCACCGCCTTCACCTCCGTTCACTGCTAAATTACCACCAATTGTAAAAGCATTGCGCTTGGATAAGTGAGACTGGATTTCACTTGTCATAGCCATTCTGATGCTCATAAATGTAATAAAAGACAAGCAATCAGATAAAAAAACAAAGAGTAACCAAACATACAGATTGCATTATGAAACTAATATTTAATTGTCGGGACTCAGGAAAGGCTTGTATATAAAATCAAGAAACTAAGGTGTAATGTCCTTCAGAACGCTCCACTTTCTGTCCACCATTGCTTACATTGAGTCTCAGCATCATTCAAGCCATTTCTATATCAAGGCATTAGCAATATACGATTAAAAAATACAATAAGCATCTCATTTTCCAAATTGAACTGTTAGCACTAGAGTTGTTCAACGTCCACATTCAGATTTATATAAAAAAAAGGGGAGGAAACTATGATGAACAGAGGAATACCCTACGAGGAGGCCATCACCGTCTAAATAGCGCGGCAAAGACATATTGGCTATAATTGTACCAGAAGGTAGAAAATGCGCCGCCAATTTTTCCCTTTCCTTCATCCTCTTTAATCTCTCTAGCTCTGCCTTGATCACTTCAGCTCCATTGAGCGTTGAACCAAGCTCCAAACCAGAAGTCAAACCTTCCATTCCATAGATATCATATATTTGTCTCTTATGTGGATCTGACAGAATCTCGTAAGCTTCACGTATGCGTTGAAAGTTCTCCGTGGCAATATCCTTCATCTGATAGAAGAGAACAAAACGAGTGAAGAAAGTACAAACGAGAAGGAATTAGCATGAGACAGAGAAGAAGGCTTACGTGAGGAGCTTGGTACTTATCGGGGTGATAAGCTTGCGCCCATTGACGATATGCTCTGCGGATTTCTTCATCGGAAGCATCCGGAGACAAGTTGAGAAGTGCATAGAGTTCTCTGTTGTCTTGTGATTCATTCCGCTCAGCCATTGCGGTGCCTAGTAGGGGGGATTTTGGAACCCCTAGAGGCTAGGGTTTTGCAAAGAATCGAACGAACTGACTCACTGAGTTTGGGAATGAAAGGGTTTAGCGTTTAAGGGTTTTTGGCTTACGTCACAGAAGGTCTAAATCCATCAATCGCCAACCGTGGACTCAGTGGAATGGCAGAATCCCCTTAAGGTGTTACTGTTAACTAGTCTTCGGGAGGTCACGCCTCAATATTCTTTCTTTGTGTAAAGTTAAAACACATAAATAAACCAGGAGCCACCTTCCATTCAGTATTTCCTTGAGTTTTTTTTTTTCTTTTTTCTGTGGTTATGCTTAAATATTGGAAACAAAACTTATTTTAATTATGATATTGTGATCATTAGTTGTTAAAAAAATGTATTTGTGGTCCTACAGTAAGTATGTTGGGATAGCATATTTAGAGTTACTTAGTGTATTTGAGTTATTATTTGCTTTATAATATGATTTTGTTTTTAAAAATGATTTTACAAATTAAAAAATATGTATTTAAATTATTTTTAACTCAATTTTTTAAAAATATATAAAATTATCTAGTATATTAGAACAGCATATTTTGATCTCTTAAGTTCGATGAAGTAAAAAGAAAAATTATATTTAAATCATTCATAACTAATGAAAACTTTTGTATTTGCGTATGTATATATATTTTTTTTTTATGATAACAAAAAAATGATAAAATTATAACTATAAAATAAATATAGTTAATTTTATTATGAATAACTTTTATTTATTTTATGTTTAATTTATATTTATATAATTTTAAAAATGATTAAATTAAAAAATGATTAATAAAAAAATTATAATAAAATCACATAAAAATATAAAATTAAAGAAAAGAAAAGTGAACAAATAATAGTTTCTTTTATATATAAGTATAGACGTGAAGTTATAAACGATATAAAATTATTGAATATAAAAATAATGTTTTTTCTTCATTACACGTTTTTCATCTAAATAAAAGAAAGTAGTAAAAAATATTATCTCTGTGATTAATTGGAACCAAAAATAATAATAAAATTTTTTTCTAATGTAATATACATTTAATAAAAAAGAATATTACATAATTAACTAACTATTTCGGATGTGAATGGTTGTGTGGTTCAATGTCTCTACATCCTTCTCGCCTCGTGCTTCGTGTGTCCAGTCCTCCGTACTCGCTCCTCAATTTCTTCCTCAATCCGCGGGTGGGAGACCTGCGAAAGATTCTCCGATGCCAAAGTCAGTTGAGAGCAATGGCGTTTTTCTATCGAACAGTAATAAATGTGCAGTAAATTGCAACCTATCTACCACTCACCCTGAATCTGTATTTATAGTTTTCGCTGTGGGTTTGGAATTAGTGAAAAGTTAATCACGACCCATATTCAGCCCAATAGCTTTTAACCTCAACTTACCTTAAACCTGGTTAATTAGCAGTATCGCCGGCCGTTCTCCCATAGCCTGCCCTTTCGGTCAGCCAATCCCTATAGGTTGTATGACCCAGCCGACCTCTTTGCTGTTTATCCGGATGACGAGCGGCAAGATTGCGTGATCGCAGGTGAATGGGCGTCCGGCTCGGCGCGCCCAACCCTCGATGATGAGCAGAAGGATAGCGTGTTTGGTCCATTGTGGGCGTACGGTCCATCGCCCGTCCGGTCCCTACTGGTACACTAACTAATACCGATATGCTAACCTATTTTAAAAGGCTCGTCCTGTTTTTGAATGTTTGATGTTGAAAAAAGAAGGTTTAAAAAAATGAAACAAAATTCAATTTTCTAATATATGAATAAAAACCATTAAAATAAGAGTTTTAAAATTTCAGGAAACAAATGACCCGAAATTTAGTACAATAACATGCTTTTTATTGGTTAATTGAAAGTAATCACAATTTGATTTTTATGCATACTTAATTATATATTTAATCAATTGTGATTATATTCTAAAGTAATGATTGTATCAAATATAGTTTTTGCTAGTATATAATGTTGTAATAAATCTTTTCAATTTTTAGAATAATTATTTTAAAATGTACCTGGTAGTATTTTCTAATTGATTAACAGTGTAAAATAAATGATGTTTAAACTCTGACTTTATAGTATCATTAAAGGGAGATTGTTTAATGTAAAAAAAAAAGGACGCGTGATAATGCTTTTTACCAATGGTTTGCTGCAAATTAATGCGTAGTGCTTAAAGGAATGCTAGGCTAAATGAATCACAGGCTTTAATAATAGAATTTTAGTAAGATATCAAGATTTGGTGTTGAATTGAATCGATAAATTAAAAAGTGAAAGCAGCATTGTGGGAATTAAAGTAGTGTTAAGGATAGATCAATTAACAATGTCTTCTTAAGTAAAAAATTATAAACACTTATGTTTTTTTTTTTCTTTATTTTCTCATCTCTACTCTATTTTTATTTATTTCATATTTTTTTTGCGATTCCGTTCTATAGAAAATAAAAATGCAATTTCAATTTAGAGTTATGATCCCTATGTTTCCTTTTTCTTTTTGTCATTTTTTTTCTCATGCATGTTGGAGATTGTTGTTAGGAAGTGAAGTTTTTTTTTTAAGTTGTTGAACTAATTCTTTTTATAAATAAATAGCCTTTTTTATTTAAATTTATTTATAATCTTCAAGTGACATTTTTATTGTCTAAATCCTTTTACAAACACTCTTGTGTATAACTTTAGAGTAATAATTTAAATTTGGTAAGTTAGCGTTAACTACATTTTGATTTAGTAGTTTTAATAAACATGATAACAAATTTTAAATTCTAAAATATTAGAAAATGTCAATACCTAAATTTAATATGACTACACAAATTTTTTACTATATCAAATTTAATGTTAATGACTACATAATATGTTCACAGTGGGATGTTTATAACTTGTTAGCAATGTAAAATTGAAAATTGAGTATATGTTGTTAATATTTTATAGTGCATAAATGTGTCAAAAGTTATCTTACAAGAGCTAGGTTATTCTTCCTAAGATTGTTAAAAGTACGTGTGTCAAAGTGATCATGAAAACGAAGTCATTAATTAAAAAAAAATCTTAAAGAAAAAAAAATCACCATTATATTTACGTATAAAATGTACAATTATGTAAATTTAACAATAAATTGTAAAATATAAAGTTAAACAATGTATAAAATAAAAGAAAATATTGTGGTCATATATTGAAAAGAGATATATGTTAGAATAAATTGCTTTTTGGTATTAGAACAAATTATGTTATAATAACTAACTTATATGTGTATAATATCTATTTATTTTTAAAGTTAAAAACTAAAATGTATAAAAATTTTAAGCAAAAACAAAATTTAATTTCACGTTCAAGTTTATAAATTAAAAATATGTTTAATTATAAATTTTATGTATCAATTAATCCTACAAAATAATTATTGAATATCCATCATTATTTTCCCATCTATTGTATAGTAAGTCAAGGCCCAACCAAATAAAAAGAAAAAAACCAATATAACCCTTTCTTATATGCTTCATTGTTGTAATATTTGTTGCATCTTAAATTTTTCATTTTAACACACGTAGAAAACTCACCCGTAGAAATTGTTGCATTAGAGGTTTATTCATAAATATGTGACAAAGAATGCAAAAATGTGGAAGATGGACATTTCACTTTGATTAATTTTTATTTAAGTAAGATTTGTGTACCAAGTTATGAAAAAATTTAAAATAAAGTTGTAAATAATTATACTAATAAGAACCAACACGATAAAATTAATATAATTCCAATTATTGTATTTAAATTGTAGAAGGGTTATATGAGTATAGAACATTATAAATACGAGTGAAGTAATTTAGATTATATCATACAGACGTCGTAATTGATTAGAATTGTAGTAAATTTTATTGAATATTAAATTTTTTAGTTTTGAATATGAATATTAATGTGAAGTGAATAAAGTTGTGTTTCAGTTGAAAAATTCATCTGGTTACCAGTAATTGGCCAGAACTATATATATGATAATGAATATTTATTTAGAAAGAGGTGGATCACTCTATATTTATATTTATGTTACACAAGTTAATTTAATAGTCAGTAACAGAACGGTTACAGTCGATTTCCCAATTTATGAGGTTAAATTCTGATAAAAGAATAAAATAAAATCTAAAGTTTAAAGCTACAAATCTTTGGAGAAAAAAGAACGAAAAATGAATTAAAGTAATATTAAACGTTGAAATGGTAATTAACTTTTATAAATAAATATATAGCTTTTATATTTAGGGGAAAAAAAGAAAACTGATTTTCGGATGCATTCGCCATCATTACTTTGGCATGATATTATCTGTAACAACAAAACAACAAAATTTCGTCTTCATTCGCCTCCACGAAAGTTCGAGGAAATTTCTTCAGTGACCCCACTAGGATCAAATTTCTCCTTTGCAATCCAAAACCGTTAATCTACTTTTTATACATAAAACCTCGTATGCCATTTTGTACGGACAGAGTATACTGTATAGTATACACTACTGTCATTTCATATGATGTAAAATGGATTAATGAAGTTAATGAATTAATGCAATACAGAAACAATAGACATTCCTCCTAAATTATACAAGGCCAGGTTATAATTATATATTTTTATTTTACAAATTAAATGAAAAGGTGTTTTCTTACTTGTATTTTTTATTTTATTTTTTAATAATTTTTTATGTGATAACAAATAATTGATAAATTTTTGGATATCATTCTAATTAAAATACCAAAATTAATTATGATGTCTACTATGATTTTATTTAAAAATTAACAAATTTCATGTTTATAAACAAATTATATAACAATATTATTTCACATCAATAAATGTATACAAAATAAAGTATTGATGATTTATCATAATGGATAAATAAAACTTTATGATAATAGTAAAGATTTTCCTAGCATGAATATTTTCGTAAAGTAATTCTAAATTGAGTAAAAGTTTAAAATAAAATAAAAATTATTTTTTGTATAAATTTATTCCTACCTTCATCACTAACAACTTTCATTCACATACTGTGAATAAATTTGGATGAATTAATCGTATAATGTGCTCCATTACGCTTCTACAATCACCATTGTGATAAAAATAATTACAGTTAAATTGATTACTGAAAATTCTATTATTAAAGGCTGTGATTCATTTAGCCTAGCATTCGTTTAAGCACTACGCATTAATTTGCAGCAAACCATTGGTAAAAAGCA